AGCTCTTTTTTTCTTGCCTACACTTAATTTCTCCATCACAGAAAGCCAGTATTTAAAAAAAAAAATCAGTGATCATGAGTTCAGGTTTTTTTAATGAACGACCACGTGAAGGGACTGGTGTGTTACTGCTGGAGTGATCATTTGATTATTCTAACCTAGGGAATAATTAATTATTCATAAAGAAACCCAACTTCACTTTCAACCTGATACACATCAAACTGTTTAATCAGAAAAAATCAAGGCCCAACAACATGCAATATTTTATTTTCTACTCCACTGCTATATCCAGCATTCTTGAAAACTTCAGACTTTTTTTCAGATTTACTTTGGATTTATCGTTTTCAACATCATTTTCAAACTAGTTCAAAGAGAAGCATAACTCAAGGACAATAAAATTCTCTAATTGTGTCACTTAATCATTAGAGATACCAGCATTTGCTTTCAGAACAACTTCTCTAGTGATACAAGTAAGCTCAAAGCTGGGATGTATTTTCTACTGTCAACCAATTTATGAAGACAAAGGCATATGCAGATAAGGATTACATTCTACCTTTTTATAAAGACATGCACGCCTGAAAAACTATTGTTTTAAAAACTGCAGAGATAAGAAGAAAATAAAGGTACACAACACTCTATTACTTTGCTGTATCTCAAACTGCTTCTGATAGGCAGGTTAGACATTCCTGACCACATCTGGCAGGAGCACAGAGTGTGGAGCACAGAGAGAACCAGAATCTGGGTTAGCCGTTCTATGCTGCACTTCGGCACCTACTTTTGCTTCAAACTGAAGCAAAACAAATATTTCATAATACCATTTTGGTTGGTTTGGGTTTTGTTTGGTGTTTTTTCAAATGTTAAATGCCATTGCAAGCAATATCTGATCCTGATAAGATCTGTTTTCCTGGGTCATTTATAGTGAAAATGATGCAGAACTACAGATTCAGACAGCAGCTCCATGGCAGAGTGAAGAGCTCTGTCCTTCAGACTGCGAGGTCTTTTTCAGAAAAAGAGGCTGCTGGACAACAGGAAAAGAACAAATATACAGATCCAGTGCTTAGTCATTTTGTCTGAATTTGAATATTTGGTATTCACAACCACCTACCACCAGATTTCACATCCGTTCAAAGGCAGCAAAGTTATCTTTTCATTGTTTCTACATGTGGTGGTTGTCCCTCCTGTGTATCCAGGTGTCAGTTCAGTCATGGTCAAAGATCACACACAAAAAAAATTTCAGTGTTGCTTTATAAATGGCAGAAGGATAAAAGACTGTATAGAGCATGAGGCCAAGAAATCTCATAGAGGTTCGCTCTGTAAAACATTTAACAAAAACTATTCAAACAGAGGGAAGAAGTGGCAACAAGCAGTAATTTCTTAGCTTCCAGGAACCTCTTTCTTCCATTAACACCTCATTAATGCCTGGCAGGTATTTCCCAATGCAGAGCTTGGCATTAGCAAGTCATTATGAAGAGAAAAAATGAAGAGTCCTATTTCCAACAGCCAAGAAATTACAATGGTATCTATGAAAAAGCAGAAAGGAGAGAATGTTCTATTGTAACCATAGGTTTTTCAGATTTATGGTATATTTTAGGGAGCATATTTTTCCTGGAAAGAAAAAGCCTTCAACAGAGGCTACATACACAATATGAGCCTCTTTGAATGCATCCCACCTAATCTGTAAAAAAGGTCTTGAGCTCAAACCACTGTGTCCTCATCAACTATTGATAAAAAACACACAAAACACTAAGACAAAAGCAAGCCTTCAATATGAACAAACAAGAGATTTAATTTTTATTTGATTCTACAATGCATTTCAGCCGTCTAAATGCCATGGGCTCCATGATCTGGTTTTCCACTTTCACAGAGCATATCCTTTGTGCAGTCATATCCTGGGCAAAGCCTTGGTGACAATTCTCAGCAGAATGCATCTTCTCATCACTCCCAAGGTATAAACAGTGTAAGCTATGCACTGTTTCAAGAACAACTTCTACGGTAAGATGAAGCACCTGGAAACAGCTGCTGAAATTGGTCCTTCTCAAATACAAACACCTGACATCACTTGTCACTCACCCAGTACCAAACAGCAATGCTACCACCAAAGATCTGAGAGCCACCTCCCCCAGATACACAGACCGTGTTTCATTAGGCACAGGTTGCTGTCAAATTCTTTCAACTTCATGACAGAAAACTTTACAAAGCTCCTGTTCAGTGAAGAATACACCCCCCTCCAATACAACCAAGCAAGATGAGCAAGAAACTACAGACATTTTCTGTAAATCAGGTGAAGGACAGATGTAGTTATCTATATATCATTGCTTCTGCTTTGTATTAATCTAGATATCAAGTTCTTTCTTATATTAGCAGTGTTAAAAATTTGCTATGCTTCCTATAACTGACACAAGTTACCTCCCCAGAAAGTTTGCAAGGTTTTCAATATCTGATGCACTTTTTTTGTTTTAGGCAAGTAAAATCTCTATTACCAATCATTTTGCTGCTTAAGTTACAATGTGCATTTTAAAACTGCTTGGATATTTTTCGATTAATGTCAGCAGTGAGCTGAAAGATGAAAACAAACTACATTGCAAGAGAAAATGCAATATAAAAATCAGGAGACAGAAAATATATATTTCACGCACCTTTGGGAGGTATCCACAGTTCCCACCCAAAGAGAATTTTGGGTGAGATGAAATGATCCTTTGTAAAGCGCGCCCCCGCGTGGTAACCAACATCTCTGCCAAACCAATTTTCTTCAGCTCCCAGGTAACGTTTCTGTCTCCAAAACTACCTCGAGTCGGCGCTCACACCTGCCCAGGTACTGGGACGACTTCTCCTAGTGGGAGTGTCCCAGACACATGCGAAACCATATGCAACATTCTGCCCTAGAGGCAGTTTCTCAGTCTATGGGCAAGGTCAAAATTATTAAGAACATTCTTTTCTCATAGCTTGTTTATTAAAGTCTCCTCAGTATTCTCTCTGCATTTTTCTTCTAAGATTAAAAGTTACTGAGTAGGACTAACCTGCTGTCTCCAGAAGAAATGTAAGGATACACTCACTTCACACAAAAGAAGAAAAAAAAATCTTGAAGGCAGAAAACAGACACTTCTGACTAAATAGCAAGTTGAAGGAAGTCCCATTGGCAGTCACTCTTTAATAGCACTGTCAAAATGTAGGGTCAGAAGAGGAGTAGCAAATGTATTTCCAAAAACAACATCTACACAGTAATGCTGAAACATATTCCAAGCATATGTATTAGGAATAACCAGCTGGAGCACCAAATCAAAACTATAAAAAACCAGAAGTGGAACTCAATAGGACTGTCAATGAAAACATTTCTTCGCTTAAAAAAATCCATGAAAAATAATATTATTCAAGTGTGCAGAAAACCAAACTAACACAGAAATAATGCAACTGATTATCATTGTTCTACTTCTTTCTCTGCATAGGTAGAATACTGCCCCATTCTTCCTGTTTTGTCTAGTTTTATTTTTAAAATATTTAATTAATTTAAGTTTTAATTTCATTAGGATTCAGAGTCTATACTAGACCAGGAAATACACAATCATTTCAATGAAAAGTGAGCTTTTTTTGTAGCACTTGGGTAGTATATGTGCCAGTTATGACAGCATCACAGACAATATGTTCTTATGATGAAATACCCTGATTTGTTGGGTTTTTCCACTTCAAGTTTTTTAAAGGACTATTTTATCTCATACACCATATTCTTTACTATATTTCTGAATGATTTTTTATTATATCAGCATTTTCCATCTTTTTCTCCTCTTAAGGTAAGCTGAAAATACTAACCAAAAACAATGGTCCTGGGAATAAAATAGATAATGGTTTCATAACACAAGGATATTATTGTTCTGGTAATGTACAAGAATGTCCAGCAGAGGGTGATAGAGACCATACGTTTGTTAGACACAACTCAATTATCAGTTTTCTGAGTCATAGATCAGAAATGCAATTAAAACAAGTTTCTGGCCCTTTCTGAATTCGTTTGAGATCAAGGAAAGCTTTAAAGCACAACCAACTTCACCCAGATCTATCCTGTACAAAGGAAATTCAAAGCTATGGCTTTGCTTGCACTAAGAAACACAGAACAGAAACAAACATGGCATTGTCCAGATGTGCACAAGTAAGAGGAATTGGGACATGCAGAGGACAAGGCTGTATTCATCAGTGATTTCCCCTGGCAAACCAACTATTTAAACTGAACTTGACCTTTCACTATTTGAGTTCATGAGTCACATCTGAGCCACTTCTGCAGCTTTTGCCAACATATATAGGAAACATCAGCCAAGCGTCAAATGCCCCTCGCTAGGAATTTATTTCTTTCACTAACCTCACTTGAAAGATTACAGTTTTTTTCTGAACACTGTAACATTTTGTTTAAAATTGCTACCATCTTGCAAAAACTATTTATTCATTGCAAATGGAATCTACACAGCAGATGGCAAAAAGTCAACACAGCAGCTCTTTCTGAACCCATGAAATGTAACCACTCAATTGTTTTCTAAGAGAACATCACTGCTGAGTAAAAGGAGAGCCAATAAGACCTGAGGCAGACATAGCCCAATCAGAAAAGTTAGACTACAAGCAGCTATAAAGCAATCAAAAGAAACCATTCTGTTGCAGACTCTGAAAAATATCTCCACTCTAAAACTGAATCAAAGAAAGATATTGTATTTCTTTCTTATTTAAGCTTTCAATCTTTTTGCTCTGGTTCTTTCAAAGAACCCCTTCTGTAGAAAGTAAAATATGTGGAAAAAGCTCACTGACAGACACCTTAATTGGGGCTAAAACACCTCCTGAATCCATCCCTTCAGCACTCCTTAGTTTGTTCTCAGTAAATACAAATGTCAGTTAAGAAATCCCCCAACCTGCAATAATAAAAGCTAATGTTTTTCAAATCTACTTTAATACGAATAAAATTTTTAAAAAATAAGCAAGTTTAAGCCAGCATTGCCCAGGTTTGGGCAGCTGGGGCAGCCGTGCCTTACCTTGCACTGCCCTGCCACACAGATGGCCGTCCCGTTGGGGTCGCAGGGGGTGCCGTCGATCACCGTCTCCGCCTGGCGCACGTAGAAGCGGTAGCCGATGGCCCGGCAGTTCAGCTCACACTTCTGACTCCCCTTCACTGTGGACACAACGCAAGGCCCCGTTACAAAGAGCACAGCAGTAGATTGGAAAAGGAAAAGCTCCTTAAACGAGCTGTAAGGTCTGAGGGGAAGAAACAAATATGCAAACAACGCATTGTAAGTGACCACATCAAATGACCGGTGATGAAGAAACCAACCGCAAGGTAAGCACTGCAACACACCTTATCACAGTGAAAACAGTGCCTCCATTGTTAACAACTGACACTTCCCTACATGACCAAGAGTACTTTTAGTTCCTTAAAAACATTGCCCAGTTTGTCTTCTTCAAGCATAGTGACATGTTATGGCATTTCATAACTCCTGAGTGTCAGAAAAATTACACCACAATCAGAAGGATGTGCATCAAATCAGGCTCACTTATAGTCCCCCATCTGTTCAGGCCCATTAGGCATACAAACACCCAGCACTGAGAAACATTTTAAACAAGATAGATGCACATTTTTAAAAATTCTGTTGTTTTTTCTCTTCATTTTTACAAGATACACTTTAGTGGGTATTCCACTAAAAAAAAACTCAACTCTTACATTCTATTCCACTAAATTTCCTTTTCAAAAATGTATAAAATGCATTATCATTCGAAACCCCGTGATTTCTGCTGACATGCAAGAAGCAATAGGAAATCAGTCCACTGAACTCTGGGTGAGAGGAACGCAGAAGACAAGAAGCAAGACATGTTATCTTCCCTGTGAAAATCTGTTCCCTGAGCAGATACAGTCTAACACTCCGCAGATCTTATGCTATCAGGTTTGTTAACACATTTGTGTAGCCTTTCTGTTGCAAATCATCTGTCATGTCAAGAGTTGCTCTCAGCTTAATACTCCATTTGCTAACTGATGTAACAGCATCTTCTGGTTTTTTCCATCCACGAGTAGTGCTGATACTCAGTGGCAGCGAGGTCCAAACAGAAATCCTTTTTTATGACAATACTTTCGTTGCTGCCACAATAATGAACTAAAATTCCTCTCACTTCATAAAGCTTCAGCTCATCTCCTATACTGAAACTGAAACCTACTATGTAATCTAGGTGTCAAAGGAGATGCTATGAGCCCTCGTTTGATGCTAAAACATTGCATTCACAAGATTTTCTACCTGACTCCAGTGTATTTTTGAATCTTCAGCTAAGAAATAACAAAAAGCCAAAATAAATAAAAGCAATCACTTCAACTATATATTAAGCAACTTTTTCTGCAGAAGTACCAAAATTTCAGCTCAATTTCAGTTACCCCCTGTGCAGACACAGGGTTAATGCAGACCAATTCTGTATCTCACATTTTGTCTCATACAGGTGAACGCATGTAACTGCCGCTCATATACACCATGTGTCGTCTGGCAATCTGCTGATAGAGTCCACCAAAACAGCTACTCATTTTAAGAGAGGTCAAAGACCTGCCCACCGAGTTTGGGTTTTTTGCAGAAGCCATGCATGCCATGTTCAACTAGGTCATTCATCTACTGGCTACCTTTTCTTTGGATTCACTAGCTTATGATTCCAATGACTTCATTTAGTTATTAAAAAATAAACAAAAACCCACCAAAAAAAAACCACAACAAACAACCTGAGGTATTTCCTGCAGTTCAATCTCCAAGTGTAATAGTCAGGTCCAACGATAAACTGAGCTTTATTCTTAGCAGCTTCATCACTTCACACATAACTATATTCAGAATTCCCAAATAAATATAACCCAGTTTCAGTGATTCATTACAATTTAAGTCAACTTGTCCTTTTCTCTGTCTGAAAGTGTCCTATTTTCACAACATGCAAAGCTAGCAATCAAGCAGCACCTCTGGAGAGTACATTTTCTTATCTTTTCACTCTCTAAAATCAAGTCAAACAAGCCATTTAGGGTTTCTGAAATGTCCTTATCTTCTGTGTTTGTTCCCTTAAGTTCAGTATCGTGAAGCCTCACTTTCCCATATTCTTTCTTTCACTATCTCCCCCATAGTTTTGATATTTCAAAATATTTCTTCTTTAAATTATTAACAGGCCTTCTAGATCCCAGTGAAAGTTTTGTGCTACTTGGAGATGAAAAAAATACCTGCTGGAGCATGGTATTTTTTCCTGGATCTCTCTCATCCCTCACTTCTGCTGTGATAGGTCAGCCTACTGCATTGCTAATGCAGCACAGTAAGAACCCCAAGCAGGCTGAGATTACTTGCTTTGTAAAAATATAACTCCCATTTCATTATTTCTGTGTTTCATTCTTTCTCATCAGGAACTGCTCCCACTCATACAAAAAGAAGTATTAGAACAGTCACTGTCTCTGACCACAAACAAACAAATCAGGCTTTAACAACAAACATACCCTATAACCCTCTGGCCTTCAATATTCAGATTCTTTTGATGAGTACATGGAAGGTACTGCCTTGATTGGGCATATACCAACCACACCACCTAAAGACAACATTCCCAAATGGAAATGATCTGAAAAAAACTTGTCTCCAAAGAGCAAAATCTGTTAACTGAATTGCTCCTGCTGAATGACAGGCATTTCCCATAAGGATTTTATGTAAGCATGATGTATTATTGTGTAAGATGCAGAAATTACAGCAGAACAAACACATTTTAGAATTCCCATGTAGAACAAGACACCACACTAGTAAAAAACCTCCCTTATCCTGTGTTCTGCCACAGCTCTTGGGGTTTTACAGTTTAGGTGGTAGGTCGAGCAGCACTACTGGCTTGGCAACTGGACATAAAATATCAATCAAACAAAGCTGTGAGGCAACTGATTCCACACAGGCCACATTTTTGACTCCCATGTCAGCTGATCTCACACTTCACAAAAGGATCTATCTTCCCAATGAGCTGGCAGCAAGACACATTTCCACAAAAAAACCCTCAGCTCTTTTGAAGTGTGGCACAGTTTCTAGGACAGTTAATTATACAGGTACTGTTTAACATGTCCTCCTAGTGTATTTGTTTTTTATTCCCAAGCTCACCTTAGCATAACCAAGTCCTTGTGCAAAGTCTCACCTTATCCCCCCTTTATTAAATAGTGAACTTGGGTGAAATTTAATGTTGCCACACAGGTTCTGCCAGACATATTCATTATTGATGTAACTGAAGGAGGTGCCTTTAGTGAATAATCCTGGTAACACGAAATGTTTGGTTTTCATTTTACAGACTGAAAAAGTATCTAAATCAAAAAAACAGTACTTTCCTTAAAACATCCTTACCAAACTAGCCCTAAGTACCTCAGGAACATCCTGGTCTTCTCCAAACTGCAAGACTTGAGAGCTGGTTGTTTTTTTTTCCAAGTTCTCTGCTGAAATTTACCTTCCACCTTTCCCTATGAGGAATAAGAGCCAGGCATACTAAAGCAGGACCACAGCACAGTTCTACTGCCTTCCACATCCCCAATAAGAACACCAAGATCTCACATCTTACAAACTGCACATCACACAGCACACATTGCAGTGAAAACTTTCCACCATTCTCCTAAGATTGATTTTACTGATCAAACTTAAACCACAAATATCAATACATTTCATTGCAGATTTCAGTGTAGTAGAGGTTTGAGGAGAAAAATTCAACTATCAAACATATCCACACATTTTTAAAGGGCAAAAGAGTAATTTATGTGGAGTTCAAACTGTGTCACCTGCAGCATTTCTGGCTGAGGCCTCTCCTCAGGCCCTGCAGAGGGGACAGCAGCCGCATGCCCGCTGGGAAGCACGAATGAGCAAGGGAGAAGTGTCCTCCACTGGGATTCACAGGCTAACAGTCAAAGATCAATCCTGATCTTTTAATTCCACGACAGGGAAAAAAAGCACTGGCGTATCCGAGCCCACGACACGCTCCCGGGCCGAGACTGTCCCCGCGATGAGGCGAGGCCGGCCCGGCCCGGGCACCTCAGGGCGAGAGCAGCGCCGGGCACGAGCCAAACGCGGCATGGCCCGAGAGAGAAAACTCCCGAGAGAGAGAAAACAAACTAAAACTGCCTCCAACTGAACGCGCTCGTTCTTCTCTCGTTCTCGCGCCGGGCCCAGCCGCTCCCCGGGAGCGCAGCCGGCTCCCAGCAGGTTCAGCCCTGAGGGAGCCGACGGCCGTAATGGATCCAGTGAGGGCCGGCACTGCGGGCAGCGATGGCGCTGCCCTCCCTCAGCCGCTGCCTGGCTAATCAGCACCTCTGCGAAATTTCACCCTCATCCCATGCCCTTTCGTTACATGAAAGTGTAAGAAATTAAAGTCCTCACAAAACACCCTGCCCAAATCTAGAAACCGCACGTGGTAGAACAAGGCAGGAAGTCAGAAACATTCAGAAACACTCCTACTTGCAGGAGTTTGTGCATAGACCTGTTTGCATTTCATCGAGAAAGAGCACTTTCAAATCTCAGCACTGTGCTGGCCTGTCCTAGTGCCCAGCTGAGGGGCCCTGGAGCGGCACGGTGGGATGTGCAGGCCCCCAGTTCCAGTCACCTTCCCTGAGCTGGACGGGGCTGGCACAGCCCACAGCCGGTCACCATGGCCGGTCAGCCTGTGTGGTGACCCTGAATGGCAAGTATTTCACCTTCCACACGACCAGAATCCCTCAGCACTGCACTGCCCCCGTGTCCCTCTCTCCAGCCAGGCCTTTTGCCTCCTGACCCTCCACCCCCACAACACAGTGTGTGTGGGAGGGCATTTGTACTTCACCTCAGCTCTTCCCCTCCTTCAGCTTCCTCTTCCAACGCCTTCTGCCACCCTCAGCAAGCCCCTGCCCAAGGAAAGGCTGTGGGCAGGCACCTGGCCATGGTGGATAAGGAGGCCAGGCTGTGACTGAGCTGCTCCACAGCGAGCTTGAAGAGATACAGAGAGCTCGGCAGGCAGCTTGCCAGTGCACAGAACTGCAATCTAATGATTTTCTTAGGAAAAAAACATCAGAAGAAAAAGCATTCCAACCACAATACCTTTGATAAATAATGTATTCAGTTGTTCAAAGGGAAATTAAAAATAGCCACAGACCAAAAAACCCCAGGAAATAATACCCAAATCAAA